ATTTTGCCTCTAACTTATACTACCTTGTGTATTTCTGTTATCGACACGCATTTTATATTGTCAGAATGCTTTGCCTTGGCCCTGTAAGTCGTTTCTTTTAAATCCTTCTTGAATCATGACCATGAATTAAAAACGCATGAAGCTCTCCCTCCCCTCTTCTCCTGTAAATAACCTTAGTGTTCATAGAATGCTCGTTTTTGCAGCGTGCACTGATTATCAATCAATCGATATTTGAAGGATATTAGATCGGAAGAAATATTGGAAAAAATTTCAATGATTGCAACGCATTAATTTATCCGAGAATAACCACTGTATCAATGATTGACATTGCTCGGTTTCATATTATGCAAAATTTGTGCAATAAAAAAATAAGCAATAAATATAAAATATATTAAAACAAATTTTTTTCTATTTTCATAATTCTATTTTTATTTCTTATAAATAATAAACCATTTTGTAACGTCTAAATGTAACAATAGAAATTTAAAGTTTGTCGGTCAATTAGTATAATTTTTCAAAAAACATTAATAAAAAAAATTAAAAATTGGAAATAAGAATTATACAATTATATAATTACAATTTTTATAATAAAATATGTATATAATTTATGTATATATTTCTAAATCTCATTATCTTTATATGTATAAAATAATACATGAATTATATATACGTATACTATAAAGAATATTTCAAGGTTTTAATAAAGATCACACATGTGAGCCGAAATAGCTCAGTTGGGAGAGCGTTAGACTGAAGATCTAAATGTCCCCGGTTCAATCCCGGGTTTCGGCAGTCGCGATTTTTTTTTGTTTAATACTGAAAAATATAAAAAAGAAATGGTTGTTCACAATAGATAATAACAGATGTAAATGAAAATATATATTATAAATGTTTAACACTTTAACATGATACGTATTCTCGTATTCTCTTTTTCATTCTTCCATTCATTTTATTATTCCGTAGTACTTTTAGAATTCCAGCTACTCCTAGATATCGAGTTATAACTGTAATATTTTAAACATTCTGTAGATCAATTTTTAATTGAAGAGCACATTACAATAATACGATTCAATCTCACTCCCTTAAAGATGTATGTGTTACATCTAAAAACAGTACCAAAGATACAAAAACATGATTATTCTATTATTACTTTTGAATATCTGTAAAATTTAAACATAATTCTCTTAGGATCGATTGTTTCATTTTTCGGTAAATTTTACGCATTAGATAAATCGTCAGATTCGCACATGTAATTGAATAATCTTGCTATTTACACGTAAATTTACCGAAAGATGAAACCATTGTTCCTTATTTATTTTAAAATTATTTAATTTTTTTGTTTGTCTTGATTCTTATACAAAATCGCATTTTGTAATATTTATTTAAAAATTTGATGAAGAAGTAATATATTAAGAATTAAATCAAATTATATATAATACATAAATATAAAATTATATATAATACATAAATGAATAC